ACGTCGACAGCGCCGGCCTTGACCTCTGCCTCGGGGAGGCTGGCGTCTGCTTTGGGCACGCTGACGTCCACCTCAACTTTGGGAGCCATTGTAGTCGTTATCTCACTTACTAGAATTTCAGGTTTGTGTGTTTCATCTTTTGTTGTTCCCCAGGTAAATGTAGGTAATTTAAACTTTGGTAATCTCTGTTTGCTTTCTTTTCCATCAACATCCTTTTCTCCTTTCTTTGCAATATTTTCTATCTTTGAACTTCTGTCACCTCTGTGTATGTTTCTTTCTTCTGTCCGATCCTTTTTTACTATGTATTTGGTTTCAACTTTGCTGTCTTCTATGTTAATATCATCTACAGGTGACGTGGCCATTTCAATTGGTGGTATTGTTATTTTCCATGTAGAATCTTCTTTTTCTGTAGCGGGTATCTGAGCTTTGAAATCCATTTTCCTTCCTTTCTCAATTTCTTTCTCAGCTTTTGTTTCTGTTACTGAATCTGTAACATCTATTTCTGGTTTTGTTAATATCTTTTTAGTGTCTGTTTCTTTTCTTTTTGGCACTGACATCCAAAATTTTGTTTTCTGAATTGTTGGTATCTGTTTGTCATCTTGTGCTTGTTTTTCTCTTTCTTCCAGGTTTTCGGGTGATTGTAATTCAATTCTAGCTCTACCTATTTCTAAACTTCTTTCCTCTATGTTTACTTCTGCTGTGTGATCCATTACTTCTTCTTTAATTCCGTTTTCTCCTTCTGTTTTATCTTCTGTTCCTTTTTGCTTCTTTTTTCGGGATTTTGATGAGATTTTTGTTGTTTGTTTTGTTGGGGTTTCTTTCAGATCTGCTTCTAAACTTGGCTTTGATGCCTTTCTTGTTATATCTTGCACTTCAGGTACAGTATACTTCAATGTTGATTCCTTTTCCTTTTTAATGCTTATTTCAACTTCAGGGCACTTTTTTGCATATGTAGGAATACCATTTTCCACATCTTTTAAGTCTTCTGTTGAAGTTTCATTTAATTCTTCTGTTTTCATTTCAGAAACAGGAGAAGCAGTATATTCAACAGTCAGTATTTCAGGACCTTCCAGGCTGATATCTTCTTTGTGTATTATTTGTTTTTCATATAACAATGTAGTATTTATTTCTTTTTTTTGCTTATCTTGATGTTCTGTTTTGGATCTGTGCATTTTGAATCCAATACTGGGGAACTTCAGCTTCTTTTGGCTTCCTTTTTTTTGTTTGATATGAATTTCTTGTTGAGACTCTGTATCTGTGCTTGTAGGGGAAATATCTTGTATAGCAGGCTCATATGCATCTGATGTACTGTGAGATCTTCTGTGTCCCAGTATCTTTTTATTTTTAATTGACTGGAATTTTGGCCATGATAATCTATCTTTTTTAGGCCTTTTGCTTCTTCCAACCCTTTGGTTTACAATTAATGTTTCTCTGTCTTCTTCTGAAGTAGCTTTTCCTGAAACGTGCAGTGTTTCTTCAGGAATGCTTTCACTGAGTTCTTTATCCTGAAAGAACAAATGGTAGTTACTAAATCAAGTGTAAAATAATATGGAAACAACACAGAACAAAACAGGTAATATAAAGTATGTAGAAAATTGAGCTTTGTATTCACATTATCTACCTGTTACATTAAAAAAAAATCCTAAAAATGGAGAAGATAATTAAATAGATTACTATTACTGTTAAGTAAATGCATTTTGTGAATGTAATATGTAGATTTAAGAAGGTGTACCTTCTTTCCAAAATACTGTAGTAAATAGAATTTTCAATAATTGTCTATATTTATAACAATGTTTGTAAAAATATGATTCATTTTTGTATGATATGAAGAGAAAATTTACAGGAAGAATTCTGAAGTGTTGCAGAGGCATCTGGATGAGGAGCTATGACATATGGTTTAGTGTACCTTTTATGCCAACAGGTATTAATTTTATTAAGTTTAAACACATAGCTATGTCTTAAGAAGACAGGTGAATGTATTTTCTATTCTGTATTTCCACACAGCATGTCACTATAGTGTTATCCAAACTTTGTAAATAAGACAAGTAATGACCTGACTTAATCGTTCCTTTTTGTACTGAGCTGTAGAGTGAAAATGTTCTAGCTCTTCTTTCCCAGCAATTTTTCTTTTCAGGCTGAATTGGACTCTGTATGGCTCTGAATACTGAAGAATCTTGAGTGCATCTTCATATTTGATATTATCAAAAAATATTGTAGCACTTAGAAGCTGATCACCTGCAAGAGGAATCAGATGGATATTATTTTAATTAGTTTGTATCTTCTTGTGATTCTTCAAATTCTGTTGTGTTCTTGTTCACACGCAGAATAAAATAATCAATACCTACCATTCATTTAAAATTCAAAATAATGTTCACAGTCTAGAGTCAGAGAACAGCAAATCATCTAGTCAAACTGCTCTGTCTGGACAGGGTCTTGCTTGGAGCATGCTCAGCTACAACAGGTTGCTCACGTCTGTCAGGTTTTGAACATTTGTAAGCATGGTGACCACAACTTCTGTGGGCAACCTGCTTTGGGTTCTGATCACCCATACAGTAACGTTATTTTCTTTTATTTTTCACTGCTTAGAACTCGGAGTTTTGTTCTTAATTAAATCATGATTTATTGTAGTTTTATTGCATGATATTTTGCAAAAGAATCAAAGGCAGGTTCTTTGTGAATGGAATACGTTGACCTTTCTTTTCATTTCAATTATGTGTATACTACTTTCTGCATATTCTTTTCACCATTAGAGTAAAAATAAGATTTTTTACAGTATATAAAACAATTCACATTTCATTACTCTTGAAGAAACCAATTTTAGAACTATTAATATGGAAAGGTTGTATTATTAGCTGGTTTGGCATTTATTATTTCAATTATACAAAGAGATGACAGATCAGAAGGTATCCATAGGCAAACACAGCTACGTGTCTCATTATTCTCAGACTAAAAATATATCAGAAAATCAGACTGTACCTTCTCTCAGACTAAACACTTTTGAAGCAGGAGATTCCTTAAATACTTTTTTAATAAATATCCCTTCATTTCCTCCACCAGCCACGCTAAAACCACTAGCACCAGCTTCCACTTCTGTTTTCAAGGTCACTTCCATAGTTTCCTAGGTGTAGAAAAAGATGTGAATTTAAAAGTATTAATTTGTATTGAAGTGTTTGAGATCATAGAATTACTGTCCTCAAGTATATTTTCAGTAGCTCAGGAAAGTATATTTAAAGCAGAGAATGCACCTGTTTGGTGTGGGTGTCCTAAATTAAATTAAGCATATATATTAGGCCATGCTGCATCAGAGCCACAGGCAAAATAGGTTATAATTTTAAAATGTGAAATATATGGAATTTCTTAAGGCTGAAAGATTGCATTTTCTGTGAAGATGCTAGGCACCTGAATTAGAATTAATCAGTCAGAATAAGAGCTACTGCTGCGCTGTACTCAAATCAGAGAAGACTGAAGAGTGTTTAGAAGAATTACAGAAGGACTCCAAGCTAGGAATTAAATGCACAGACCTGTGCCAAATCTGAATAACTTGTTAAGTTCTCGTCCAAAATAAGTCTGAAGTGATTCTTTACCCATTTTTTCTTTCTGTTCACCCATCAACATCTGTGTGTTGTAACAAAATATTTTTTCAAACCACATTCATAAAACAGTTGAGTGCTTTTAGACTGACCTGTGGATGACTCTGTTTTGATTTGTCGGTACTATATTTTTTGTTTTCTTCTTGCAGCTGAAACATAGATTTCCATTATTTAGTGTTCAGAAGTTGTGCTGTCATAACATAAAACAAAAGCCCAGCCTCAGTTATAAAGCCTGGTTTAGACCAAGAATTGAGGCTGACTTTATTAGCAGCAGAGACAAAACAGGAATGTACAAGTACGATGTACACTGGTAGTGATTTAACTATATTATCCCCAGCTGTAGATTAGATGCCTTTGAGAGAAATGAATGCTAGAGACCAGCTGTATTAAGACATTGATAATTTTTCTCATACAACACCTTTCTCATGCTTTCATCTTTGTGAATAACATACATGTTTTCCATTTATTTGACTTTCAGCACCAATTTAAAAATGTTGCCTACTTAACATGACTGGCAATAATTAAATCTTTACTCTTGAAAAATTAATCGATACAAGGTGATTTTGAAATATATACTAGATTCAAGCCAGTTAAATATCTTAATTATAGAAAACGTTGCAATTTCTTGATGCTTTCTGTCCCATATTCCTTAAAGAATGCAGACAATCATATTTTTTGCTGAGAAACAAAAAGATGACCAACAACAAATCCAATACAACATCAATGAACATGGCCTGGATTTTGGTGAGGGTAGGTAGGAAGACAATACAGCTGCAACTACATTATATACATGACACAGGAGTCTTGGCTAGCTATGGGAGCTAAAGCCTTCTGAATCAATCCAATAAAGCCACGCCTGGATAAAACCTCAGTATTCTTACCTTTAAATATTCTTCTTCTACAGAATATTCATAAACTGGTGAGGATCCCTGTGGCCTTGGACGGATGTCTTCTACTGCCACTTCATTAACCTGCAGGAAAGAAATGAGGGGTGGGACAGACACATCCACCATTAAACGGTGACCCAATTTTTAGGAGAGATTTTTTCATCTCCTTCTGTGTAAGCATCTTTTGTTAGTAATGTTTAATGAAGATAAAGCAGTAACTCTTTGGTCAGCAATACGAGGGATGCCCTGAAAATGATGCCTCCTATTTCATTACATTGACTCACAACATCAGAGAAGATGTGTCATTGAATTCCTCCACATGGAAAAAATGGCACCTATTGGCAGAAGAGCTGATAGAATTACTTTGATTTTCTTTATGAATTGTATGCATCTGTGGGCTGGACAGACTGAAAGTATTAACAGCTCAATTAGTAACAATTCAAAAAGGCCATCTTTGTGCCATCTCTTGCTTCATTTGCATGGTTAAACTCTGCATCATGTAACTTCAAACTATATTGCCCTCTATAAACAAGCGAACCATATGGGAGTCCCAGAAGGAACTTGGCTGACAAACTCTCAGCATACTTCCTTGTGGAGTCAGTCGATGGTGAACCATAGATAAAGCTTTAAAGAAATGAGCTTGCAATCAGCAGCCATAATTTGCTAGGTTTTGGGATAAAACAACCTAAAAAACTCACAGAATCTTCATCTTCTGCATCAGCATCAGCATCTCCCGGAGGCTCTGCCGGTCTCAGCTGTCGTCCAGAACCTGAAAGCAGCACACAGGTTGTTGGAGTTGATATGAGCTGTGCAAAGCAGACAGCAAAGAGCTGTCAAGCCAACCTCCAAGCGGCACACCTGGGAAATGCGCATGGCTGGCTGTAGAAAGGACTGCTTTTGTTCAAATTCCTTATCTCATCAGGCTGATCTTTCCAAAGTGGTTTTCAGAGAGTAAGCATCATGAATCTTTGATTGTCATACAGACTCTTTTCTCATGGGTTTTAAAAGTATCCAGGGCAGAGAGGGATGGGCTAAAAGAGACAGGCTGTTTGAAAGTAGGATTATTTTGAAATGCCTGAAGTTATGCCACAAAGAATGAAACTAGAATGGATATATCATCATTTTTAGCAATTCAAGCTTACCCAGTAGCTGACAGTACGGCTGAGATGCACACTCCCTGATGTGCAGGATATTCTACATACATATAGAAATTATTGTCCTGATGATCATACCTCCTTTCTGTCTCCACGATGTGTTATTTTCAAGGCATTGGGCTGTCTCTCTCTCTCTCTCGGGTCCGATTCTGCAACTGCCATTATCATACATAGTTTTGGCTTGCCTAAACACGTCTCCTGGCTTAAAAATATGCTTGAACAGCCACAAGCAACATCGCATGACTCTTTCATTATCTAGTTTAAACAAAGAATTATTGGGCTGGAAAATAATATTTCTGACTGTGGATATTGCATCCTGTATGTGCACACAAGCTAGCATGTCTCATATATGCATGCAATCACTCTACAAGTTGCTGAGCTCTTGATAAAATGGCTGTGATTTTGATAGCTTGTTTTCAGACTTTACTGATATTCTACTTTTTTTTTTTTTCTTATCTTTTATGCATATGAAAATTGCTTAGTGTTGGCAAGTTCATTAAGATCTTTGCCATGTAATCAGTGGTGGTCTACTTCATTAAGATGAATGGTGATATTGTGCTTCCAATGGATATGTTCCATGTCAGTCTGAGGCCAAGTTCATCATTTAAATCATCTTAACTATCTGTCCTATGACATTTTAGCTCCAAAGAACTAAGATCAGCTTAGAAAACTGCAGAAAATGGTCTTCCTGCAGGTCACAATTCAGATTAAATACCTACAGAAACTGGTTTGATTTTTTCAAAAGCTCTGGTACATGCGGTTTTCAGAAGCTGAACAAAATTAGAAAATGAGTGTTCAAATGTGTATCTAGAAACCTGATTTTCGACATTTCTGTTTAAAGTTCTGGAATTCATTCATGAAATTCTTCACCACATCCACATTAATAAGTATCATACTGGGAGAAGACCTGCAGGACTGAGGTTTTACTGTCTAATTTGTTTAGCGCTTCTAAAGATTCAGGTGCCAACAGCAAATTTTATGGCTGTTACTAAAATTCCAAGAAATAGTAGGGACTTAGACTTGTGGCATTGCCATATTTTTCACTTGGGAAAATCCCACCCACAAGATTTGAAGTCCATTAGAATGATTTAACAGAATAGTGCTTGGGTTGCTAGAATGTTTGCTCTTCAGTGCAGCACTTTAAGGCTAATTCTGCATCAATCCCTGGTGGATGCCAATGACTTTACTACTGGAAAAGTGAAAGGAAAGAATTATCTGGAAGGATTCTTGGACTGGTTCACTGCTGTTTCTCTTGTTTTACTCTAGTGATGTTTTATTTGTTTAGAACTAGAGCACTGCAACTGTGGGGTTCTCCTTTCTTGGGATTTGAATGGTCCTGCACAGTTTGCACAGCTGATTTATCTCACCATCCAGTAGGGTATATCCTACAGGTTCTAGCAGAAGTAAAACTTTTAAAACCAGTTGCTTTAAACCAAGGATACTTAGAATGATTAGGCAGCCAATAACTTCAAAATCCTCCTGTTGCTAAGAGCAGGCTACTCATAACCCCAGGATAATTACATCACTTCCCACAGTGAAACTTGAACACTTACTTCCCATCAGGATTACATTTTAAAACAACAAATGATTCTGCCAAGTCTTATTTAGTGTGGATGTGGAAAGGTAGGCTCAGGCTAGATAATATCTCATCTGTGCCTAGATCAGGAGAGATGTTTCTTATTTTTCATCAGCTATTTAACAGGCAAAGCAGTGCTGTATGAGGCACATGGGTGGCTTCAGTTGCTTGGATGCTTGCTGACAGGTGCTTGTTTTCCTTGTCCTTACTAGGGATCAAGGCTTGACAAAATCTCAAATGTCATCAGAAACATCCTGAGCAAATTTGTGAGCTTTCACCCACCTTCTGATTTCCCCAGACTCTACCTATATAAATTCTCTCTCCTACCATAGTCAACCTATGTCAAGAAGGCTTGTACCCCTCATTCCCACTGTAGAGTAGGTCCATGACTTGCTTCAGATTTTTTTTCCTTAAAAGCAAATCTGTAAAAGAGGGGAATCACAATGAATTCCATTTTCAGCAAAGCTTCTTTCTGTGTGTATAAGATTGTGCCAGTAAACTATGATTTATATGCATGTCATTCTCATGCCCCAAATAGTAGTGATGCCAACGTTTTATAGGTTTGAGGTTTTTTTTTTTTTTTTTTAATAAATTCTGGACAATTAATGCTTTGTTCAGAATGTTTTCATAAACAAGATGGAATTTACATCAGTGACTGCTTCTAATAGCCAGTGAACTGACTTCAGAACAAGGGAATTTTTTGAAAGTAGGCAGTAGGAGTTATATAGAATGGGGCGTTTTCATATCATATGACTGAAAATTGTGTTTGCTTTTTAAAACACATTTAAAAAAGTAATTTATCTCTAATTTAGCAATCCAGCTGGGCTGTTTGGGCTAAAACTGCAAAAATGTAAAACCAGCTCTATTTTTTTTTTTTTTGTATGTGCATTCTGTGGGTAACAGTTTCCAAAAACTCATTTGAGATATCACAATCAATTTAAAGTATGACAGTGTCATCTAATTCAAGCAAAAGTGTGTGTTAATGTATTGTATAAACTAAAGAGGAACCCATCCTCAACTGGGACACCAGCATGTAGATTTATCATAACCTGAATGCTTTAAGATCAGATTAACAGTATAACAGCAAATGATAATACCGGATGTGTTGTTAAAAAAAAGAAACTAAACTATTTTGCTGTTCATTCCAGATCAAATTCCTACAGACTGTATTCCCTTCTCTGTTCTTCTTAAGGTTTCATAGTACTGTTATGTTTGCACATGAGTTTGGTGAATTGAAGTAGTCTACTCTTATTTTTAAGTATGCAACTTTTCTTTGCATCAAATCCTTTGGCATTAGATTTCCTGCCAAAAGTGGCTTTGTTTTATTTTATTTGTTTATTTTTGTGGGAGCAAACTAGAATGCCACTGTTGTCTTGTTTTCCCTGGGATTTTAACCCAGACTGGGGAAATCTGAGATCTGAGCAATCATTGCAGTGCACATACTTTTGACGAAGACTAAGCATTGCTCATTCTCAGGTAAGATCCTGATCCAGGAGAAGAGGTTTCATTCTGCTATGTACTGACTGGCATGAATTATCCAACTTTGCTTCAACACTGGGTTTCTCTTAACAGACAGAACCTGAGCTGTGGTAAACATACAAGACATGTTTATGCTCTGCTCACTCATTTATTATTCTTTGTTAATATATGAAAGAGACAAAACTGTGCCTTTTCTCTACTAGGATTTGGTGTTGTTTAAGAAACTACCATTTCTTAGCTGCAGTAAAACACAAACCTTTCCATTTGTCCAGTGTTGACCTGGCTTTTATGGAAATAACAGCCTCGAGCCCACAGCCAGTTACAGGACTCATGCTTAGACACTGCTTACTCCTGTTTTCTAAATGGAATGCCTTTCTTGAAACAAACACTGTGCCCAAATCTTTAGTCCATGGCTCATTCTCCCCCTCTTTCAGGTATCACAATTGCTTGGATTCCTTTTCTTCCCTCAGAGCCCCACAGTCCCAACTGATTCACTTCTCATATTTGAAATAGAAAATATTTAGAATAATTAGAATATTTAAAATTCTAGCTCCCAGTTCAGAAAAGCACTTGATAACAGGAACACTATGCACATGCTTGGCATTTAACTCAGCCTCTCAAGAGTACATTTTCTGATAGGTAAGTTCACCTGACTTGAGTTTGCTAAGAGAAAATCCTCGCTTTGAGGTAAGAAGTAAGAAGGCAGCATTCAAATATTTCACTTTTTCTTTGGTATCCTCGGTGTTTTCCATACCCAATTCTATTTTTTATCTATCCCAATCCATGGTCTCAATTATTTTGATGGGTTACTTAATTAATGCATGTATCTTGCACTGGGTTCTTTGGATTTCCAAGAATATTCCAGGAGACTGAGGAGTGATGAATAAATGTAAATCAACCAACTAATTAGAATGTTATTTCAGCTAGGCAGCATCACCAAGTATTTAAACTCACGACTGAAAAATAGTCTAAAACTGGATTTTTTAATAGCCTTCACAAGGTTACATTGACTGCAAAAAATCTTTTCTACCTCGGCTACCATTTTCCAAACATGAAAATGAATTCTTGGCACTTAAAAAATGATATTCACTACTTTCCAAACTCAGCTGTACTACAGATCTCTGAACCCACAAGGAGAACTTTGTGCTCTCCTAGCTGCATCAAAGCTGCATCAACTGGCTTGATGAGCCATGATTTGCCAAATCCCCCTGCTAAATGAGATGTACGAGCACAAAAATACTTACTCAGTATCAGCAGTGGCCTCAAATGTTTTACTATTTCTCTTTGTTTCCCCCAGAGCTTTATTCTACAGCTCAAATTACACATGGAAGTGATGACCTCAAGCTACATTAAAGAAGACTAGAAGCCTTCAAGGGCTGTTGTTAAAAAGAAACCATGGCTGATTTGCTGTCCACAGACTGCTGTCAGCATCTGCCTTAACACCACAGCTTGGATTCAGTTGCAAATTTCCTTACATATACGTGCCAAACATTAATGTGAGGACCAAAACAAACAAACAAACAAACAACAACAACAACAAAAAACTACTCCAACAACAAC